TTCCAAAGATCACAAGCAACTTGCTCCATTGCTCAACACAAAAAAATGAATTGACGAGCTTTCGACTATGAACATATGAAAGTCATATATCTGAACTGCGGATAAAGACGTGAATATGAAAGCGATCTTTGCAGTAATGAACACTAGTTGAGCAGTAGTGAAAGTAAAGCCAGAAAAAAAAAATTCAGGCCTGCACTAGATTTGAACCCATGACCTCTGCGATACGTAATGACCAACGAATAGAAAACTTGTTTAGAAAGGATGGTATCAATTGATGAAGTCGAAAAGGCTGTTCATACAATGCGGGCAAAACTGGCCAATCGCGACGATGACTACTTCACGCTCTTATCCCACAGGGATACACTTTAAGCTAATGGATACTCTCCTGCACAATTGAGAATGGGCTCCAAACTTAAAACAAAGAATGCCATGTCATCTAGATAAACTGCTGCCCAAATTGCTTCTCTCGCCTGCATACTTCGATGAAGTATACAGGGGAAAGAAAACGGATGGGGAAATACGGCACACGTCAACAGACACACGATCGTTGAGGGTGAACAACTGTCTCCTGGAGAACGTGTTTGGATACCAGATTTGCGCACAGAAGGCCTTGTGGTGAAAAATCTCGGGAATCCAAGATCTGTTACAATTGGAACACCAAAAAGTACCACCCGGGGGAATCTTCTGCTGCTTCGGAAACTAGAGCCTCGACTCTTTTCACGACAAACTTCAAAATCTAATGAGCCATTAAAACAGGTGCAGTCGCATGGTGAAGAGGTACTTACAACTTGAACCAAGAGTCTGCCTGAGGTGCAAACCTCAGCTACATCCCAGGAAGTTGTTCCTGAGAATCCCCTGGAACCACCAGCACCGGCTGAACTGCGTGGCTTGGCTTGGAGCGGGTTCGAAGACCACCTAGACGGTACATTAACGAATCCCGACGAAAGACAAGCCAGTGCTCCAGTTTCCTATCAGAAAATCCTACTGATGACGGTTAAATCATGTACGCGTTCAGAGCATGTTTGATTGCGGAGTCCTCATTAGTAATTAATTTAGCCTTAAATGATGACTATGGCCTGGAAAAGGCGCCAAGAAATTAGAAGCCTTTGAAAAAGACTTTAAACGATAGGAGATGTGATGTAAAAAGGCCGCTTTGTAAGAGCTCACGCATGCGTAAGGGGAAGAATTAAAGATGGTGTTTACGTTCTCATTTGCACAATCGATCTCACTACTTTATTCACACAAATTCTTGCCTTATATCCACACAACAAAATTATTGTAGCACATGCAGTGCTCGTTGGACCGTAATTCGAAAAACTGTGGCAGAAAACTTCAGTCTCTTCAGAGAGCATGAACTTGCAAATTCCGGACAACAGGTTAAAGCAAAAGAAAAAGAATAAAGAGTGAAGGTTTACAGAAAGCGAAAAAAAGCCTCTCATATAAACGCTTTAAGAGATGCGGACGAAGAATTCCTGTGGCGGTCATGTGAGCTTGGTAAACATTCTGCTCAAGCATAAGTCAATGTCATCGAAAACTTTGGCCACCGAGGGAGGCAAGCGTACTTTTCAATGTTGCATTAATTGACCAGCTATATCATTAATAAGTGAGAAGAACACATGCTTGTTCAATTTAAAATCAATTTAATCAAAAAAATATTTCTGATAGCCAAATTGCCCATAGTCTTATTACATATACTATTCTTTCGATCTGTTATTTAGATACCTCTCTCATCTCCTTAGGGCCCACCAAAAGTTCCTCTACATTCGACAGTTAGGGTGAGTCGTTAAACCCAGTTGTTTCTTAGGACCTTTGTTGGTTTGCAGTGTTCGCTTCTTTGATAGTTAGGGATAACGGTTGCCTCTTGTTGTGCGGCCTCGTGCCTGCTTTTTGCTAGGGTAGCCCCGCCAGTCCTCGCTGATCTTGTACACAATCCAAGCTCATTTCTTTCTTCTGCTTTCTCCACGGTAAGCATGGCGTCCGTTGGAATGTGGCCGGGAGGAAAAGGAACGCACACGTACTGTGGTAGTCGTTTGTCCCGTCTGATAATAAGGTTGTCCCTCGTCACTTCTACACTTTCAGCGTGAGCAGCACTGACTGGTAACTCACTATCGGGGGAAGACCTTGAGGAAAGCCTCTTTCGCAGCCGATTGAGTATTCCACCTTGCGATTTCTGTTTCTTTTCTGTTCGGTCCTCGGGAAGTTGTTGCAACTCTTCTTGAACACCGCCTGATTCTGGGCAGTTCCACGACGGACCTTCATAGTTCCTGGGGTGAACGCGACGGGAAAGTCCCCCACTGGATTCCTCATTAATGGAAGGTACGGAAAAGTTGTTCATCCTTTTTACTTTAAACAATCATAGATTGGCACTCGCTCCAAGGAGGATTTAACCAACAACCTAATTGATGTTTTTCACTCTATTTTATATCTGTGTTAGGGCAATTAACTATTGCGAAAGTCGCCGAGGTTGATGAAACATTGATTTCGTAAGGTGTCTCTTGCTAATCAATCTCAATTAGCACAATTGTTTTCAGAGAACTTGTCTATTTTCGCCGCTGGACTTGCCAATTAACAAACAAGAGACTTGCTAATTCACAGAAGTTGAATTTTTCTTGCCTTTTTTTAAAATTTTTGAAGTTTGAGTTGAGTTGTAGTTGTAAAAATAAATGTTTTGCTTAACATTTCGAAAAAGATACAGGTAGTTATTAAAAATGTAAATAGAAGCGACAAAGTTACACGAAATTGTCGTGAAACGAGACATACTCAACACTTTCACGCTCTGTTAAACCCCTTTGCGGCCGAGAGACCAGGTATGGACTGATTAGTTTGCAACAACAGCGGTATTCAGTCATGAAAATGTTTTGAATATCACTTTCTTATGGGGACAAATGTCCTCGTGGAACACGAGAAATACTCGACATTCAGATTCAGTTCTCGTTTCGGGGGTCTTGTGAAGATGTTTCATTGACAATGCGAGCAATCATATTGCGGAAGTTTCTTACTCTGGTCGTCATGAGAGTCTGGTGAATATAAAACACCGACGAATCTTGATTTGGAGTTCCTTATCCTTTTATCAATGCAAGATGACGAGACTAACGGTAAACTTATGTTTTCTTAGTGCATCAAGATGATCTTGCCGTGGGCTCCTCACAATTTCCTGCTAAAGAAAACTTTACCGCTGAAAATTTAATCGCTGAGGTTTTGAGAAAGAAACAAGTGGATATTTCGCCATTTAATCCTTGTTCAGGAAATATATTCTTAATGGCGTGTATAACGCCCTAATATACCCTTGCTCACCTCAGCTCTGCGACATATCTAAATTTTCAAGGCTAGATAACTCAGTCCAAACTTTAGAGCAGACTGCAATTTAATGGACTTTGAGTGCGGAGTAAAGCGTGCTATTACGAATAGTGATAGTGGACAACGTACTCATATACTAGCAGAGCTCTTGCAAAACGGAGATGATCAGATTCGAGACCTCTCCTTTATTTCACTCTTTAAATACATTCACTAATTCTTCAGTGGTAAATTGATTGCGACCAAGAAATTAGAGAGCAGGCTAATTGACTTAGGGTTAGTAACAGTAATTAGTTTAACAGTAATTAGTAATTCACGTCACATTTCTTTTATTCTTGACGTTATTTTTGCTAGTGATATAAGGTTTCGTTTGTCAGTAAAAAACTTTGCTTTTCTCTCTATGAACAAAAAAACACAGAAACTTTTTCTGTGTTACGACCATTCCTTGTAAATTGAAGACCAAATATCGACATTACAGCTAAAAAATAAAAATAAAAGAATAATTTTTCTGACACAAATTTCTACAGACGTAAAACCTTGCGTTACGCTCATGGGTAAAAAAAACAAAATTAATATCAAAACAAGTGGTGTTGATTTTGTTATTTTTTTCCTGCCTGTTGTTTTCTCATGTTTGTTGTTTTGCAAAGGAGTGTTTAGTTAAAACTAATTGTGCTCTGAAAATTGTGGCCAATCTTAAAAAATCCAGGGTCAAGCAGGTTATGGCAAGCGCAAGTGGACGAAAAACCAGACCCTTTATTGCATGGGCAGAAAATGAGGAGAGCCTGACAACAGGTTCCCAAATGCAAAAGAAATCTTTATGGCCAGACGGCAGTAAAACTCTCTGCAGCAACGACAATACCAACAAACCATTTACTTGGCCGTGGAATGAGCATGAACCTGTAACAGAGCCTGTTACAACAGATTGGGCAACTTCTTCGCACAAAGTTTCTTCACCCAAACGAACCCATGGATGGCGCGGATGGAAAGGAAAGATGAAAATGTCCTCGGTCCAGCAGACCTTTAAAGGCGAAGAATATCATTCTGATAATTGTAATATTGTGCACGATGATTCAAACACTATGCCTTCGGTGACGCACCCAAGTCATTTGCTAGTCTGTCTTCCTCCAGGCTGTGTTCCCACTGAAGTGATCTTTCGAGTGCCTAACAATGAGACGGAATCGCGACCACAATCAAGGGATGTAATGGTTGAAGACCCGGACGTTGATCTTTGGATGAAGGATATTTTTCACCAAGCAGTAACAATGCAGAATGTTGAGCAACCCGTGATCTCTGCACCACGTATCTCGACCTTGGAAGGAGCTCTCCTGGAGAAAAGATCTTCTACAGATATCGAGCTGAGGCTGTTTTTGCAAAATCAAAAGGGGGTTATTCGCAGAAATGCAATTTGTGAGGAGCTGGAAAGGACAATGACCTTGATAAAAATCAATGGGGTAAGATTTAGTCTGTGGCATCTCCGAGAGGAACTGAAGATCACTTCACAGATAAAGAATCCGTAAGGTGTTCAACTCTTTTTGGATCTTTGAGATTAGATATTGTGTTTGAGATCATATGCCGTAATGCTGATCACTCAGGAAACAATTTTAAGAGAAATAGTCGTAACACGGTAATATTTTCTTTTTTTACTGTTCATCGCGAAACAGCAACTTGCAAAAACAAAAAAATAATTTTTAATCAATAGAAGATATGGAAGTTTTAAACCTCGAATGTTTTGCTTTCTTTTTGGGAGCCTATTCTGCTTTGTAATGAGTTAGATGTAAGCCACTGATTGTGTATATACTTTCTAAACCGCTATTGCTCGCAAAATGTTGCTTTCTTTACATTCAGTTGAAAACTGTTGAGTTTGGAAGATAAATAGATAAACCGGTATTTGTACTGATGGCTGAGTCAACTGTAACAGCGGCCGCTCAGAATCAGGACTATCCTCCTCGATGGAAAGACTCCTTTCAGAGTTCAAAATGAATACAGTGAACATCACCAAAGTTTGAGATGAAAAAAAAAACTTCAAGTTCATCATCATTCGATTCTCAAAAGCGATGCAAATTGAGGCCGAGAAATAAAAACCGAATTTACTGACATGATGTCCTTCTTTTATTAATGTGTTCTTAAAGTTTTGTTTGACAAAGAGGTTTTTTAAAGAAATAATAATCATCATTGCCTGCTTTAGCTTAACTCCGATGTCAGAAAAAGCGAATATAAATAACCTACTTTAATTAGGTTGTCAGGCGGCGAGAGCAAATTGGTTCTACGAATACAATTGCGCTAATCAAAAATTAATTAGCCAGAGAAACCTTACACTGATTAATGTTTTACCAATCGCAGCGGCTTTTGCAATTTTAGTTAATTATCTAGGCACAGATATGAAAAAGAGTGATGTAACGATGGAATCAAGGATTACGATCGCGGGTACCATTCTACAGGGTTTATTAACGTAGAGATTTCGCCAAGCTTGAAAGCGGAGACCCAGTTACTTTTTTTTCAGCCCTTCTCTTTATTAAGACTCCTCTGAACTGGCTGTCGAAGGGTCTTTGCAAGGAAATTAAATGACTATTCGGAGAGTGGGAGGGGGGAACAACGGGGTTTGAAAACGAGGGATGATATTCTCACAACTTGCAAAGCGATCGAGAAGCATGCTAGTCGACGGTATTTTCAATACGGATGACCGATACGGTTTTTCCGAATCGATACGATACCAAGAACGATACTGATGTTTTTCTTCGATATCGATATCGATACCGTAACTTCTCTGAGTGAAATGATAATTTACGTGATTTGATTTACCAAATACAGGGTTATCCCTGGAGTAATATACTGTTCAGTACTCCTCAAAATCAACAACAAGATAGTGAAAAATTAAAAACCGGAGTAAGGACGTACTTATGTCGAAACTCACTACTGTCGATCAGTTCACTCTTGCAGCGCTCAAACGCCACTTAGACCGGTACACATCGAGGCTCAAGAGCAACGAGTCTCTCCAGCCTCTTGTCAGCGGTTAGTCGGCGGCGTGAGATAAAGTGCCGGCAAGTCACGTGCAGTATCGAAAGCATCGATACTTTTCGCCGGTATCGATATTTTCTGAGCAAACCTCGGTATCTATGGCGGGTGGATTGTGTCAAAATTAGTAGCAACAAATTCGATGGCTCACTATTGGATGGCTTACTATTGGATGACTCACTATTGGACGGCTTAATATTGGATGGCTTGCTATTGGACGGCTCACTACTGGATGGCTCACCGTTGGATAGCTTACTATTGGATGGCTCACTATTAAATGGTTCAGTAATGGATGGCTCACTATTGGATGGCTCATTATTGGATGGCTCATTAATGATTACTTCACCAATGATGGCTCACCATTGGATGGCTCACTATTGGATGGCTCACTATTGGATGGCTCACTATTGGATGGCTCACTATTGGATGGCTCACTATTGGATGGCTCACTATTGGATGGCTCACTATTGGATAGCTGATCATTGGATGGCTCACCATTGAATGGTTCAGTAATGGATGGCTCGCTACACATTGCATACTGAGCCGAACGCGAGGAGCCTAAATAAATTTTCCTTTTATATTTTGCCCATGAAAGGGTTTAGGGCACATGTTTCAAAATAGTTTGACTGTTATTAAATTCTCTCTTTTTGCGTCACCACAAGCCAAAACAGGAGCCCATGAGTAATGGATTCCTGTATAACTGTCAAGCAAATGTATCTTTCATGAGCCAGAATGGCTCTGCAAAGCGTAGTCACTCTCAACGAGCGGGGGTTTTTTATCCATTTTAGTAATGGATGGCTCGCTACACATTGCATACTGAGCCGAACGCGAGGAGCCTAAATAGATTTTCCTTTTACATTTTGCCCATGAGAGGGTTTAGGACACATGTTTCAAAAATAGTTTGATTGTTATCAAATTCTCTCTTTTTGCATCGCCACAAGCCAAAACAGGAGCCCATGAAGTAATGGATTCCTGTATAACTGTCAAGCAAATGTATCTTTCATGAGCCAGAATGGCTCTGCAAAGCGTAGTCATTCTCAATGAGGGGGGGATTTTTGCGTGACATTTATCACCTTTTAAACCAAACCAGCTGGAATAAAGAATATTGTTTTAGCTATTTAAGAACCTTTCTATGTTTTTTTTTTTACGCGTGTCTTTTTTTCCCTTGAATTGAAAAACATTGTATTATTGCATTCAAGAGAAACAAAAGGTTTTCATCGCTGGGGTCAAAATTCTTTGCAAAACGAATGGTTTTTAACAAACAAATTAGATAAACTAGGTCGGGTATTTTGAGGAAGTCAGTCAGATTGTTGAATGTGGGTTAACATGGTAGAATATTGACGCTTAGGGTGATTTGTTTCGATATAAAGAAAACCAATAATAGTTACATCATGTTAAAGGTTTTCAGGTTGATTTTGCAGCTGTACCTTTCATACATAAGCGCGGCTCCGGCAGGTTTCTTGCCAACTCGATGAACAAAGAGCAATTTTCCCTGAGTAGGTCTTTCACTCATTTATTGTCAGTTGACTCAAACTACCCGTTACTTCATGCTGTTCGGTTCGTTTCCCTAACAGTTCAAATGGGTGCATTCTTCTGTATTGGTGTAAAATTGTCAGATTATTTGAGTACAGTGTATCGCTTAGAATTTTGACTGTCAGTTAAAATGTTAAATCAGGCATTGACATCGGCCTTCATCTTTAGACTCCCACAAAGGGAGTGACTTGTACTCTGGCTTCTGAGTTCGTTCTCAAGAAAAGTCCACGCACTGGTTCTGATTCTTGTATGAAAAGGTAAGTGTAATAAGCCATGTCTCCCTTTCAAAGTGAATTTTTATTACTTAGCGTACATGTACTATTCTGTTTCTGTGATCTAAGAAACATCTTGAAAAGTTGCATCAATCTCTTTAAGTTGTTTACTCTACATTTGTCGGTGCGTGTTTCTTGTGTCAGTGCAAAATTCACTTTTTCCAGTAGACCAAAAGCAATAAATAGCTACGTTTGACAACAGTCAGAGTTATGATAGCACTCAAGCAGTTTTTTCCGGATTCGTGACCAATGCGAGATGTTCTGGTATCGGATTCGTTTTGCCTTTCACGCATCAGTACACAAATCCTCGATGTAGACAGCGAATCCGAAGATTTTGATTCCGATGTCTAAAATGTGAAATTTGTATTTGAATACTTTAAATTCAAAAACGTTTCGTATTGTAAACGATTTTTCTCACGAGGCTGGATATTTGTCAGCCTCCTCGTTTGCGATTTTTCTCAAATATTTTACCTTATTTATGGAACAATTTACATACTGTAGCTTTCAAAACAATTCTCAGCAACTTGGACTCCAGAAAACCCTACATTACTATTTTAGTTTTCTGTAAGACAGAATTTGAACAGTCCCAGGATCCTTAAATATCTTTATTTCATCGCAATATCGAACCAAGGCAATTTTTGTGACCCGTGGTTTATTCTTAACTATTTTAGAACGAGAGTCGAGCTTAAAAGTCTGGTTGATAACCATTTTCCCTCTCAAGTGGAAAAACTTTACTAACCCGAATACCCTGACAACGATTAATCCAGTATCATTTATGAAATAAGGAAAGAAAGTCACCTCTAGTGTAAAACCTATAGTCAGAAAAAAAATCCTGCTGATGATGTAAAATTTTACCCAGGAGCCTTCAGCTTGGCCTTATTGTGATTAACAAAACTCACCGTATTGTTTCTTAAAAGTGTAGAAAATCGACAACTATGTTCCCAATAGGCGCCGGTCACTTTATTGAAATCATAAAATGGAACTCTACAGATTTCACAATAGGAAGGCCTCGAGAGGAAAATACAAAGTATCTAATTTTTTGCTCGGTATCTGTCCCCGTTTATCTCAAAACGAATAATTTAAAGATTTTTTTCACTCTGGTTCATCATATAGGTGAAATATTGACAGGCAAATTACAGGTTATATAGATAATTATATGTTATGAGCTTCAACATGTCGTGCCTCCTTTCATATTTTGCTGCTCTAATCAGTAGAATTGTGTCCGGGCTTTTCAACGCTTTTTTTTATATCTAAGATGGCTTTTTACGAGTCTGTATGCATTTCGTTCGTACATAATTTATGCGACAACCTTCTCTAAACCATTCAAAATATGAGTAATTTCAAAATGTTTGTTAAACAGGTAACTATTTCGAGAATAGACGGGGATGTGGTAATTTTGATTTTTTCTCGAAAGTGGCTAAGTGTAAATAAAGCAACTTTTTGCATTTATTTTTCAAGCAAAAGGAGCAAGGTTGAAACCTGGAATCGTGTTGTTATCCGTGTCGATTTAAATTAGCTTTTTAACGTTTTGGGAATTTTTCCAGACTTGTCGTACTTTGCTTAACTCATCGGCAAGTTTAACAGTCCTCTCTGATTTCGTTAGTCAGCTTTCTTCACGAGAAGGATGGCCATTAGAAAATCTCTGGGAAGCGAAAATTTCATTTTTGTGAAAGCTGTATTTACAATTATGACGTATATGTGGAGTGGAAAGAGTGGAACTTTTGCCTCTGAAGGTGAGTCAAGCTAACTTATTTGGTTTTTCGAAAAACCATTAGTTATAATATCGGCAAACTAATGTAAGTCGTGGGAAGAAAGCCACAAACTGGACCAACTGAGCTCTCGTTTCACTCGGCGGCATCTAACACAAATTTGCCAGCATGATAATCAGTACGAAATAACGAAGGCTACAAAACTGGTAAGCTCTCCAAGGCGCGGAGCTCTGGTCTCACACTAACACACTCTCAGTAGAGAAAATATGGAATCATTCTTGTCTCATGCATGTATCTCAAAAATTGACCCGAGATGAAATCATTGCGTTTGTGACAGGAAGGTCTTAAATCACCTTAGAAACCAAACTGTTTTTGTAGAAAATATATGAGGCCATTCAGGCTAGAAATTTCTACCAATCAGAAAAAAAATTGAAATTTCGAGTATGAGATGTTGCTTAAATAATCTTAAGAATATCCTTGAACTTCTGAAATGAGGAATATTTTTGCTCATAACTGTAAGTTAGTTACAATAAATTTTGCCTTACAGTTTGTGGCGAAGTTGTAAACAACACGCTGAAAAGTCCCGGATATCCAAGTGCTAACTATCCTAAAATGTTGGACTGTATTTATATGGTTGTCATTCCATCTGGCATGGCTATGAACGTTTCCTTTGAAGATTTTTACATTGAGGATGACAGTACGTGCGAGTAAGTGATTTATTCAAACATGACAGCCATAAATTTATTTGCAGTTGGATAGAGGATGGAAAATGGAGCGGGGGTGTAGATTGGGTAGGATAGGAAAGATCGTTGTGCTTCTCTACCCTTCTACACTCGTGATTTTCTTTTACTCCTGCATTCGGTAAATTCATTTCCGTCTCTTAGGTATGATAATCTGATGATTATCAATGATGAAAACCGCAACTACGGAATGTACTGTGGAGACTGGACAGGACATACAAAAACTGTTTCTGGAAAATATGTTTTGATAACTTTTCACACGGACATAGAAACCCAAGAGAGGGGATTCCACCTGCTATTTACTGCTGTTCCAATCAGTAAGTTTAACCTCGGTGGAGAATTATTATTTTAGTGTTTTCAAAAATTTTAAACAATTCTGAAGTTAAGCTTTTTCATGGTTAGACAGAAAGTATAGACATAGAAATTCGGCCAAACGGAAGGAAGAATGGAGAAGTATGGCAAACGTTTACATGGACTGACATGCGAAACATAGCATGAAAACGTTTCAAAAAAATTTTGCGAGGTTCATAAAGCTTCCAAGAGCTGCTGTGAATATTGTTTCCACGAACATATGATAGGATTCAAATACCTTCCTTGTATTCGATTGTCTCACGAAGCTAAACTTGAGGATGAATATTTTGCTCACGCACAGTCGAGAAAGTGTCAAATCAAACGAAAGCATGTACAAGTCGGAGGTCGAAAACGTTAGTTTTATGCGATGAGGTTCTTCATAATTATTCACTGACAATACTTTAACTTATTTCAGCAGGAAACAGGACAACCAATCAGCCATCATTTAGTGGTAAATATCATTCCAAATTAATAACAGTTGATAAGGCCCTACCTGTAATTCAAATACATTTAACTAAACTGAAGACTTTATTACAAACCGTCGCTTGAATAAATGACGTTGGATTTTGTCGACGGGTCAAAAATTAAATAATCGGCATTAAATATTTAGATGTAAAAAACATTTGTAAATGTGTATAAGTCACCTTCTCAATTGTGACTGGCCACGACAGGCATGCTACCGCTCAAATTTAGGAAATTTTACGTTGCTGTTTGGCAGAGCACGGCTGACAAATGTACAAAGTTTTGAAACGCAAGAGCTGAACTCTTGTTCCGCCCATAAGATCTTTTGTTACGCCACGTCCTCGTTGCCCTCGTCATGGTGTACAAAAATGTACAATAAATCAATTGTAAATTGAGTGTTGTTAGATGGCGACAGTAATCAAGGCCTTGCTTTGATTTTACACGTCAGGTTTCGGTTTTCTAACGTGATGACAGAGGCGACGGCGACGTAAAGAGACTGGGTCTAGGCAGTCAGTTGCTGTCGGGCTTACTTCACGAAAGAATCTCGGAAACTGCCAGTTTTCCGGCCAATGTGAACCTTTCGTGCTTAGTTTCTTGCGGATTTCGTTCAGTCTTTCACTTAAATCGCCGAGCATAAAATTTATCATCTTCATTTACATCATCATTGCGCAGAAGCATCACATGTTTACACTCATATCCTTGCAGTATGCAGGAAAATTGTCTCTATGGACTAAGTTAAACGGCTTAGCTAGCTGCGTGTCTTATATAGATTCAGAGGTAGCGTGTCGAAAATACCAATCGGGAGGTCGTAAGTTCGACTCCTTTTTTTTTTCATCTCCTAGTATGCGTATGTCATTCACTAAATAACATATTCCTTATATTACCAGGATTAAAATTAACCATCTTCACTCACATCATCATTGCACATGAGCACCACATGTAGACATTTCTATCCTCCTAGTATGCAGGAGATTTGTGAATGATTTAGTGAATGATACAGGCATACTTGGAGAAAACATCGAGTGCTCTCGAAAGGAATGGAACCTACGACCTTCCGATGAGTACTTTAGACACTCTACCAGTGAGCCATAGGAGACTCATGGCAAGCTAGGTCATTAAGCTTGTCCATGGTGACAATTTTCTTGCATACAGCAAGTGTAGGAATAGAATAGAATGCCTTGTTCAACGTGCACCGAGTGATCTACTTTGAAGCTTCCATGAAAACGCCACAAAACACTGAATATTGGATACTAATCGTTAAAAAGATCCTGGAGTTTTTTTTCCTCTTTGCATTGATAAAATTCATTCATTTATTTGACAATGACTTTGCTCATTCTACGAAGAAACACGTTGTGTCCTGCACATGTCGGGCTTTTGAAAATAGTTTCGACATAGGGGTTACATGGAGAAGTTCCTTTTACAATTCGTTACAGTACGGACCGAGAGGTTAGTAAGAGGTGATTAGGTATCTAGGGTCAATAATAGCACTGCACCACCAATTTGACTCTGGATAACTAAAACTTTAACTGATCTGGGTTTGACTTTAGGCAGTCCATCGAATGAAACAGAGTTATATAAAGGTTTTTGGAGATTATCTTACTGCCGACAATCTTGTAGAATACAAGGTGAATTAACTATGTGCTGAAGATATTGATATTGCAAAGGTATTGCTTAATTGCTTGAGGTTGTTGTATGTCTATAGGCTGTGGCAAGGTGGTAAACGGCACACTTATGAGCCCGAGATACCCAGCGAACTACCCAGCGTATCAGGACTGCATTTATCTGGTTCCTATCCCACAAGGAACAACAATGATCATCTCTTTTCACGATTTTGATGTGGAATATGATGACCAGTGCAGGTAAGGGTGAAAATAACATTTACTACGATACTTGTGGTCACACAAAAGTCGTTTTGAGACAAAAACATTGAGGAAGACCAACGTAGATATTAGTAACCAAGTGTTGATAAATTTGAAGATTAGTAACTTGAGATCGGTTAAATTGCGTTGACGAGGCGTACTGCAAAAATTTTTAAAATTACTGGACCTGTTTATTTTATGCTCAGCCAAAGAAAGCAAATCAGATGAATGGATCTCATATGTAACTATCTTTTTCCTTTTGTTCGCAGTTTTGATTATTTGAAATTTACAAATGAAAAAAATGACAAGATTGGTAAATACTGTGGCCAAATATCAGACCCCGGGCGGACTGTTCTTGTAACTGGAAAGTATGCAATACTGATATTTCACTCCGACTCCAGCGCTCAGAGAAAAGGTTTTCTTTTATTCTTGACAGCCATTCCTCAAGGTAGGTCACTTCAGAAAAGCGTACAACTCTTCAATGAAAAATAGTGGAGTTATAGGAAAAGAGAAATTTAAGAAGGACAAATTTTCCTCGTGTAATAACCATTATGAAATCATAGGTTGTGAGCGGACTGCAGGTGAGTTTAAAGTGATAAGAAACTAATCGATTATTCCGCTGATTTATATTCCCGAGTGTCACTTTTATCTTTGCTGATACTCGCAAGAAACTTGTGACATGTGAATCTAGTACTGGCCGTTGGGGTGGAATCTGAAGTACTGCCTGGAGTTTGATTCCAAGGGGAAATTCGGATCAATTCATTGTAGTGACGAGACGAACGACGTCTTTCATCTTTTCCTTCTATCCTTTACATAAAAACGTTGATTTTAGGAGAAAATCGTCCTTAATGTTCAAGAAAAACTGCATTGCCTTATTGAACAACGTGAAGACCGCTTATGTCAACTCATAGGTTTGTTTTTCTTTGACAGTCCCACCCAGGGTATTGGTACCAGCTCCCGTTGTACGATCATTACCAGGCTACGAAGTGACGTGCTCAGCGACCGGAAGTCCTCCCATTTACTTGGCTTTAATGAGAGATAACACTGTTCTAGTAAATACAACTACTCCAGCACGAGTCAGATTGTACATGGAAGGAAATTATACTTGTGTCGCAACAAGCAGATATGGAACCAACACGAGCAACTTTGTGTTAAGTTTTGTTGGTAGGTGCTTAGTTTGATTGACAAAAGAGTCTAACTTGAACAGAATCCGCTCAAGCACTTGCTTTCAGTGTAAGATCTTTTTCTATTTCAGCTCTTAAGCGGACCACACAAAATTCCATCCTTAAGTCAAACTAATTTCATATTTTCGAACTTCAACTGAGGGTATTCAGACAGTAACCGACCCCAAGGTCATTTACCTAAATTACTTTTCAAGATTCACCTCTGAAAGCATAACTATCACCAATACATACTTTGTTAAAGAAAAAGGTAAAGATGATAGATTAAAGGTTTTCTTTGCTCTTTTTTCTCCTTCAGATTGTGGGCATAACTGTCGCCATTCGTGGGAAGGCCGTACGTTTGGGAATAGTCTTTACTGCCTAGGGTTGATGTCACCAGAACTCGCTATAAAGTGCACTTCAACCGTTACTGACAAGATGTAAGATCATTGATTTCCATCGTTCATATATACGGCAAAAAAAAGAAATAAAAGTCACGTGGACTTCATTAGTAATCGTATTGACCTTTTCTCTGTTTCATTAGTCTCTAAGGTTGTCTGGGACTGTCTCATTGACATATAGATTTAGCCAAGCCTGAAAGCGGAGCTCCATTTGGTTTATTCTACAACCGTTCACTTTCTCAGAATTTCTCATTGGCTGTTGAGGAATTTATTCACGGGATTTTAGGGATTTGTAATTAATTATGTAGAGCTTGGTAAGGATTCAAGGGCATTTTATTACCAAAAGGGCTTTTCTTTCTTCATTTGCTAAAAAAGTTTTTAAAATTCATTCCGAACAGCTGGTCTGAAATCAATACGTACAAGTACTTCCCTTGTCTTAGTCCTTGCTCATTTGATGATTTTTTTTTTAATTCACAGGTCCATGGAATTCACGGGAAACTTTTCACATCCTTCAGCTGGTATTTTTTCCAGCCTGACCAACCTACATTGGCTGTTAGTATACAAAGTTGAAACATACGATGCTAACCACGGCAATTACTAATAAAAGCAACGAATGATTGAAACAGAGGGACTAGTACTTTCATTACTTTTTCGTAACAACTTCATAAAAAAACACTTATTATATAAGGTTAGGTGAGGCTTCTAAACGCAGGTCGAGAGCTGGTAACCACAAAAGCTATGAAGTTGATAGTTGGATTGATCTGAAGGTGTACACTTTGTCCTTACCGTTTCTCATAAAGGCACTAAGTTCGTCCACTCTATCGGGTTTACTTGGCAGGTAATAAATAATTTCAATAATCAATGATTAAGATTCTTTGGGATTAGATGTTGTAAACTGCTAGGGCGCGTGAATATCACAACACCATCCCCAGCCCGCTACGTTTCTCAGGATTGAATGGGAGCAGTTGTGTAAAACCCAAATGATTTTAAAATTTCATAACGACTTTGTATGTTTCATAGGTCACTGAGAACAAACAACATCGAAGAGTTACCAGGCAACCTATTTACCAACTTAACCAAGTTGCGAACCTTGTAAGTTAAGTAATATCCACTTCGAACTTAAATTTATTTAATTTAGTAGGAAGTAAGTTGATGTGCAGCAGACGCGGAAGCCTTATATATATGCCGAAAGACTGTTTATGTCTGCCCTTTTTGGATTCAAGGTGGAGATTTGGAAATTTTAACAATACCATTAGGAAAAGAAACCTATTTTGAAATTTTAACGATACCTCTGGGAAAAGAAACTCATTGGACTGGTTTTGAACTAAAATCTGCGCTGCTCATCCTCAGATGTTGCCTTAAATCACATAAGACAAGATACTTCAGCTTCTTGTTCATCCAACTGGAGATTCTCCTGGTGTTTAGCATAAAGTAACTAAGAGTAATATCATACAACCTGGATGAGAGGTTACCCTGAGCTATTCGTCGGGTTTTTCTGATAGTTTACTTGTCTCAAAGTCATATTCCTGGGTAAAGAGTTTTACCGCCAGAGTAAGGCACAAGATCAGAATGATCTCTGTCTGTGCTCAAGATCAGACTTTCCCTCCTGGAGATAGTACAGACTAATCCACAGGGTCTTTCTTCTTTCAATAAACAGCTTTCTCTCCATAAATTTTGATTGTGGTTTAGGATATCTAACGTCCTCTTCAGTGATAACTTTCCGCTGTATGTGCTGAACGTCATTTCTTGAATAATAAAGCACCAATTTTTACAGGCTCTTGAGTGAAAACAAGATCACATTTCTTCCTGAAAGAGTGTTTGCTACATTGACAAGTCTGTGGCTGCTGTACGTAGACAACTTCCCCAACACTTTTGGTGAATTTTGCAAATTATCTTAGATCTATTTTGGTTTACATCGTGTACTTTATAAGGTCAGGTTGTTCCTAGTCAGAATTGATCCAACATGGAACGACTAATATGTCTTTTGTGTAGAGATCAGGTAACCAGCAGAAATCAACTCACGAGTAATATTACAAAAGGCACAAAGTTCTCCTAAAAAAAAAAATGAAATTTTGTATTTCAAATAACATACACCCGCTATTTTTCCCAATCTTAAAATCCTTTAAAACATACATCGCTATGGTTAAAAAATTCTCTTGATAGGGATTTAGCTTCAAACATCATTTCGGTTTTACCCGAGGAAATATTTGCTGACCTACCAGATTTAACTTTTCTGTAAGTAGATAGTTATATCTTAGTTCTGTGTAAGGTAAGAAAATGTAAGGATAATATAGAAGTGGTAGAGCCAAAGGCTAGTGGTAAATAATTTTAAATCAGTTACATCAGTAGTTGTCTTTCAATTCATTTTTGTAATTGCTATTTCAGTATGAATTAAAAAAACATAATTTTGCCCAATAACTTTCCAAGAACAATATTTTCTTACGCAGCAAAAACAATTTGAGGAAGTATATATAAATCGACCCAGATAAGTTTCATAGTCACAATTAATCATGCTGCCTAAAAAGTAATGTTCGAAAAAGTCCTGGAAAATAATGTTCACAAGAAGTAGCTCTCTGTTTTTGAAGCTGCCTCTCATAAGAGTTGTCATATCGTAAAGTTAGGTGGCTGGCAGAAGGGTCAAACGTCTTGCGATTGTATAAAATTTCGAATGCAAATTAAACCGGTTGACGTGATGAATTTCCTTCGACAGGGACGTTTCTGACAACGCTTTAAAGTTTCTACCTGACAGAGTGTTTGCCGCTCAAGAAAATCTTATCTGGCTGTAAGGGTTTCAACTAACTTTTTCTTGAACGGTCAATTTGTTTTTGATTAAAATATCTTTGCACGAGTTTGATCTACGAAATAAAAAATGCTATTTACTCACTCAACCTTTGAGCCTTTAAATGTTCAGTGGCACATAAGACCTCAACGAGGTCTCTCCAAATCGCCCAAATCGCACTACCTGGCCAGGTGAACTTATCGAAAGACTCTAGTGCGTAGCTGTCGATCGAGATTTCATCTTTCTCAGTCGTTAGACATAACTTTTACTTTGCCCATATTTATATTGAGCCCGATGGTGCTGGCTTTGTCATTTTACTTCGAACTCTTTCGTTGAATGTGAACCTGAGTGTTAGAGGGCAAAGCTTTGTCTTGGGCAAATTCGAAGTCTTGGTTGCAGAGCGTCCACCTGATGCCAGTGGCTTGCTGCTCTTTAAAATTTTATATATTAGCCTTTCCGTCTATGCGGACATTATGCATCCTTGGGACACACCTGGGTTCGCTTCAAAGCTCAGTCTATAGCTCTACGTGCAGCTGGTAAAATTGTTCTAGAATTGAATGATAACTTTTGTTACCTATACTTCGTCACATGTCGATACTAAGTTGTGTTATTCTTTTTAAGTCGAGTACAATGATGCAGATATGGTGGCCGTATTGTGCATTATTTCCCCCTCTCTACAGGAATCTGACTGCAAACATGATCCAGAATCTCAGTGCGGAAGTTCTTTCCCCTCTCACACAATTGGTCACGTGGTGAGTTTGAGTCCGTTTTCACCTGACAACATTAGTTTCCTACGTCCAATTAGGTGTTCATGTTGTTGAAGCATAAGTTTTTGTAAAAGGAGAGCAGAAGCTCATATTCATTTTCACAAACAACAGCTGTTAATATTTTGTTCTTTGAACAAACTTTTACAATGCTATAGCGGGGAAAAAAAGTTCAAACGTAGAGCTTATGCAATTTCTCCGGTCTTAAAGTCCATGCAGAGACAGTGTTGTAATTATTACTCAAAGATACGATCTAACGCTTAAACTAAAAAAAATAATTCCGGATAAAATCACAAAATGGCGATTTAATCAAGAGGCAATAAGCATCGGCCGTGATTGTATCGCAAAACTATTTCGTTTCCATTCTCTCTTGTTCGGTCACAGAAAAAAAAAACCGGAAGGTCGATAATAGTTTTAAACCAAAAGCCCAATAAAAGGATGCTATTATTAGTCATCAAAGTTATCGAATTAATTTCACCTTGTTTCGTTTTTTTGTTTTGTGTTTGTTTTTGTTTTTGTTTTTGTTTTCAGGCTTATAGCTTCAAACAATATTAAAAGTCTCTCGGTTGATATGGTCGGTCGCCTTACAAAAATTGGAAAACTGTACGTTCCGACTTAATTTGATTTTTCCAGTTAAGGCTATTGATACATCTTTATCAAATTAGTGAAGTGAAAGATGTCTTGCCTCTTAGGATAATCGTTTCAGTTTCTTTTATCTACCCTTTTTAGGGAAATATCCTCAAATGATATCCAAAACCTTGACGAGGATTTGTTTGCCCTCATGGACGACTTAAAATCTTTGTAGCTATCGTTAAAATTGTTTGCTTATAGATAAGTGATGACTTAATTTGCCAAAACATTAACTTTGATCAAATTCTCGAACGTGGCTGACTGCCGATTTCAGGCCTATTTTAATAATGTAGGTATAAATATTGTAGGCATACTGCATGGACTATATCAGGTTCATTTTCTGTAGCTGAGAGGAAACACTAATCCAGTATCCAAGATAAGGCATAACAACCTAGAAACATCACAATAATGGTCACAAATTAAAATATGAACGCATTGATGGATAACTTTCGATTCACTTGCACGAGGGGAATATATAAACCAAAGTGGCATTTTTCTTCGTTATCATCATACAACATATTTTAAGTAGTAAAGTTATTAATAAGTTGAAATCATGGAACATTGAAAATAACAGACATCGTGGGTAGATCTGAACATTCTACTCTTTTTAATTTTGAAAGTGGAACGTTTTTTTCACACTTTGTCGTTGCTACAGTGTTTTATTTCTCCTTCACAGGTACCTGGGTTCAAACAACATTTCATACTTACCAGCCAAGTTATTTTTCAACAATGATAAAATAGAACGTTTGTAAGTTCAATGTCATTATGATTTATCATAGATATACTTAGAAAATATGGTATCGAACAGTGTTACCTTCTTTATAGGACGTTCAAACTTTGGGAAATAATGAAAGCGTTTCATTATTTCCCTGCACTTTTGGAATAGCACGAATGCGTATGATATCATCCTTCAAGAGGAGGCTTCCTTGCGAAACTTTTTTCCAAGTTAAAATAGATTTTGATCGGTTGAGGGATTATATGGAAACTTCACACTGACGTTCCTCAGCACTACCTCATGTTTTCAAAGGTGGACATATTGTCTTTCGAGAGATCCTCTCCGACACACTCCTTTTGCAGTATTTGGTACTTTAAGATGCACCCACATCCACAACAAAATCATTACGATTACTGATCAAAAACTACATATTTGTTTTTACCAGGGATCTCCAGTACAACAGAATTGCCAAGTTACCGACCGATATTTTTCGTAACATGAAAAGGTTGCGACATTTGTAAGTATCTTAAAAACGACGGCATTGATCTAACGAAAGCCAGACGGAGGCTTGAAGGAAATGCGAGGTTTATGTAGAGGGATATTTGACTGAAAGATCCTGAATGACACTCGAAAATTCCGGTATTCGAAACTTTTCAAAACCATTGTTTTGAAAACTTAAAAATTCTCAATAAAAGCTAAGTTTTTCGCTTGTCTCACGATGTAGTCACGTGTAATGTAGATCGCGACGTTTCGACTGCATACTGCTAGTCTTCTTCAGGCGATGAGGTCGACTGGTCATACGTGATCTTATAAAGCATAATGCTCTGTTGTAGTTAGTAGCTTTGAAATCGTTGGTGGGTTCGGCAAAAAAAAGACCGGAAAACCAAACAACAGTGCCGAACCCGCCAACGAGTTCAAAGCCACTCCGATTTTGCCTTATGTCAAAGGTCTGTTCGAACAGCTTCGCCGTTGCCTACAACAACAAGGCGTACGCGCTGTTTTCAAGTCGGAGACTACGCTAAGATCTCAGTTAGTACGACCTAAAGACGCTGTCGACCTGGCTAAATAAGATGGCGTAGTTTATAGGATTCCCTGCGAATGCGGCAAGGTGTACATCGGAGAGACTGGAAGACCTATGTCAGACAGAATTAAGGAGCACGATCGAGACATCCGACTCGCCCGTACCGAGACCTCTGCCGTTTCAGAGCATGCCCACAACACCGGACACAAGCCACTCTGGAACGAAGTAAAGTTTATAGATCGTGACCCTTATTACTATACGCGCAAGGTCAAAGAGGCAATTCATGTAAGACTTCACCCTAACAACATCAACAGGGATAGTGGAATAGAAATTCCGGAGGCATACATGCCCACGATCAAAAAACGCAACAACAGGAGAGCCGTTGCCTACAACAACAAGGCGTACGCGCTGTTTTCAAGTCGGAGACTACGCTAAGATCTCAGTTAGACTATACGCGCAAGGTCAAAGAGGCAATTCATGTAAGACTTCACCCTAACAACATCAACAGGGATAGTGGAATAGAAATTCCGGAGGCATGCATGCCCACGATCAAAAAACGCAACAACAGGAGAGCCGTACGACAGAGGACCGACGAGGGAGCAAATCACTGAGTGAACAGCAAAAATCGAAATGTACCAATCAGAGCTGTTGAAAAGCAACTAATCACAGCAGAGCATCATGCTTTATAAGATCACGCATGATCAGTCGACCTCATCGCCTGAAGAAGACTAACAGTATGCAGTCGAAACGTCGCGATCTACATCACACGTGACTATATCGTGAGACAAACGAAAAAGTTAGCTTTTGTTGTTATTCACCACGATGAATAACCACAACCTTTTCTACGAAATCAAAAATTCTCATTGGTCCATGGATAGCCTATGATGACTTGTTCAAAAATTGACAACTGCACGGCCTCGTGAAAAACATAACATATACTTGCCTGTCTTAGATTTTGTTACATTTTGTGTCCCAATATGATAAGTAATGGTAATAGTACTGAGTGGAGTCCAATTCGGTCTGTAATCACACGAGTGATATATATATATATATATATATATATATATATATATATATATATATATGTATATGTATATATATTTATATATATATATGTATATATATATTTTTTTTTATTACTAATCAATCATAAAAATTACAATTTCCAGGAAAAAAGTGTAGAAGAATAGCCAACAATAACCGATAACAAACTGTTCGATAACAAGCTATGCCTTGTTTTGCCCCGTCGATTTACTTCTCTGACATTTGTAATATCAAAAAGGGGAAAAATTCATTGAAATAGCAGATAGGATCCTAATTTTTCCCGTGGATATGGTATAACCACAGAAACGAAAGCTCTTTTTCACAAATTCCTGAATATGTTTTATATGGCATGTCAAGTACGACAAGGCTTTTCATATATGGCGGACATAACTTATTTTTATGCTTGGTTGCCACATGTTACTTTAATACGGAAGAATAGAGGGTCATAGAACCCCACAGAGGCAGCTCACACTTGATTTAATGTGCGTTTTACCTAGCTTTTGCTACTTCACCTGTTTTGCACTTGTCTCCAAATTAATCGAGGATTGTAAAGTGTTCGTCATGAATTCGTTAGAGTGACCAAGTGATCTCAACGAGGAACTTGTACCGACAATCTCTACTAATGAAGAACTAAATGAACGTCTTGTCGAGTCTGGGTAACTTTTTCCTTAATTTTTTAGATTTCTAAGCGCCAACCAACTGGAGATTATTCCGTACAGAGTGTTCTATAGTCTGGATGACCCATGCACAATGTAAGTGTAATATGTGGTGTGTGTTCTTAGCGAGTAAATGGCCAAGGGTAGAGATGATGGTGGTTTAAAATGAACTCAGTACTAATTTAGAGTGTATGTTTTACAATTAACGGCTTTTGGACATGTCAATTGTTACGATACAGAAAAATTTTGCCCTATATATCAACCCATCCCCAAATTAATCATTAAGTGGGTGATCAAGGCCAAAAATATCAAATTCTTCCTTTTCTCCTTTGCATTTCGTTTGTTCTCTAAGCAGTCACTTCGGTCATCTTTTTCCTTCGGTCTCCTCGAGATCTAACTTCTCGTGACCATCTTAATCATCATATGTAAAACACAATAGACCAACAAATAATTTTCAATGCTTTCATCACCTGATATGTACTGTACTGTTATCACTATGCCGATGATTTTCTTTTCGTCAGAATGCTTTCAGACAATCCCATAATCACAATTGAACCGGAAGCTTTTAAACTCAGTGATGAGGAATATAAGGGATGTAACTTACAGATGTAAGTAAGCTCTTCGCCCAGACTGACACCTGAGCCACCCCGTTCACTTTACCAATTCGTGAAGTACACCTTACAGAAGCGCTAAGTCAACTCAAAAGGAATTTTATAAAGTAATAATAATGTCAGTATATCAAGATGATCATAAGTAATTCGTTCATCGGCTGCAAGTCGTATCATGGTGGCCTTAAATCAACCGCTGACATTGCACGTCCCTCCACAATGTAAACTTAAACCCATGCGTTAAAGGAAAGTTGAATCCAACCTACAACTTAACGGTAAAATGCAGTGAAAGGTCAAGTATATTTGATCTCTCGGTAAGTTGGAGAATAACTCCCGATTCTTATAATTTTGTCATACGAGAATTCTGTGGATTTCTCTTACGTTGTTGTAATCTATCATCAGATGTCTGATAAGTGGAATTGCTAACGGCGTTGTAACTTGGGACTTGGCCACACCCGAGGCATATAGGGGAAGGTCGAACTGCACCACGAATAGGGTTCCCTAGTTGCCAAAGTAGGCAATGGTAAAATTGATTGACACTTAAAACGGAAGTACAACTGTATCGAATAGCACAAGAGCTACTCAACAATCAACCCATCTTTGGAATAATAGAGAAATTCACTTTGACGGCGGCTAGAAATGACGACAACTGTTTTCAATCTAATGTTCCGTACCCTCTGTACATTATTCTTTGCAGATATTTGTTACGGACGAAACTGAAGATATTTCGCGCGGATTACTTCGTTGGTCTTGGTGGTCTGGACTTTGAACTGTACTGTATCCCATTCAGAAAGACAACATTTTTTTTCCGAAGTTACACAAACATGTATCTTATGCCATCTTAAGAAGTTAGCTCACTTTCAGCGGGAGTAACATCAAACGGATGCTGTTTACACTCACTAGATATAAATCCAGCTGCCCTCGATGATAAGTCTAACTGATATGTAGCTGACCATAAAAGCTATCAATATTATCAACGTAACTCTCAGATGGAAAATTTCTGATTTGATTACATCTTCATCTTACTTAGCTAAAATATTTCTATTGGAGTCTATTTAGGTTATATTAGTGATGCTGGTAAATTGAGGTATGAGGGCAGTCATACACCTAGCAAATATGGTGATTTTTTTTTCTTTTATCAGGGTGTTAAAGAATCGAACCGTAGGAACGTTAAAATATCGATCTCTAGTCAAGAATTGCACAATATATCTGTAAGTGCTTCGCTTAAAACACAGCGCTGGTTAAAGCAGAGACAATAAAACGTCAGTGTTCAGAATTGCATATTTCCTTCTTTCCAAAGTAAGATGCCATATTGTCTATTTTGAATCCTGAAGTTTAGACAAAAAACGCAATTACGTTTTACCCTCTGTGCCGTGCCAGTCAGTCATTTTTATGTTTTGAGAAAGTCAGTTTTGTGGTCCTATGACATTATAACATCTTGAATGACTGATATTTTGCATTCCCAGGAATCCTGTGATTCTGATACAGAAACTGTTAAAGTTCAAAAGCCAACTAGCCAAGAAAGTGTGGCGTTTATCTCTGCGCTTATGTCCACGGGATTTAGGAGAATACCAAGCAATCTTACAGATGACCAATACCATTCATTCTTGCCATGTCCAGTGGGAACTTTCTCTAACAGTTCATCGAAGGGAAAAGATGGATGTTCGGAATGCACCCCAGGTATCTTTATGTGTAATTGTTTGTTCTAAGGAACTAAAAGTGCCGCAGCATATGAAAGTGATCGAAACATGAACATTCTACAAAAGCCACAGACTGCACGCTCTCGGCAGGAGAATTATTTCAACGTGCTGATAGAGCAATGAGTAAATACTTAGCATAATATTCCTTGTTTTCCATGAACGATCAGCTGTAGCGAAGGACGCAAACGAAACTAATAATAACGGTAAATATAAGCTGTTATAACAGCGAACATTACAACCTTATCTAAGAAAAACCTCGCTTTCGAGCAAGCCTAGTTGGTCTGTCATGAACAGAGACACTCCTTTAGGAAGATATCTTTCTGGCAGACATTACACACTGGCCTCTTTTTCTTACGGTAGCTAGCTGAGTTATTTCGAAGAAAAAAATCACTTTACTGTGTTGTCCCCGCTTTAGGTGGTTTTTTCTCTGATAGTGTCGGCCATGTTGCCACAAACTGCAAGAGATGTCCAACTGGTTCGTTTGTTTCCTACGATGAAGCACCAGGAACACGAGCGGAAGATTGCAAGTCTTGCCCTGAAGGTACAAAATTGTTGTGCAAACAAAAGCTCATTTCGAACAGTTCTTCAATGTCTTATTCACAGACGAGTATGATTCTAAGTCTATATCTTAAAAGATGGGACTAAATAACGTCCGCTAAGTGGCCAACAAAAACTATTAACCAGTTTTTTGTGAGTTTAAGAGGCAATTGATAACCGGGAATAAAAAAAAGCCTTCTAAATCCGGGGTAAACATTCTTTTAAAACGCTTGGATCTATGCAAAACTTTATTTTACGTGTGATTTCTCGGCTTTATTAGGCTTTCTTCAAAAGCCTTATGCAATTCATGAAATCTTTCTTTACAGGAACAGATACTGATTTCCACGCTGGATATCGAGCCTGCAAATGTCTGAAAGGATTTTATCGTACACATATGTTCGAAAGATGCCATAAATGTTTACAAGGCATGGCATGCCAAGACGATCATATTTCTTTAAAATCTGTTTATTGGTGGGAATGGCGCAATCAGACGTCGAAAGGTCGGTACCAAAGGTTTATAAAAAATCTTGCAGCTGTGTTGCCAGCACCTGGCATAGATGATGTTCAATACCCTCACCCGATCCCAACCCCTCACCAATGTCCACGGGAGGAAGCATGCAAAGGTGGTCTCGATTCTCCATGTGCCGATGGCTACAAGGGTCCACTCTGTGCAGTTTGCAGTTTAGGGTATTACAGACAACAGAAAACCTGCAAACAATGTCCTTCCAAGCAATGGATTATCGGACAGTTTTCCATCGTTGCTGTCGTCTTTCTGGCAATTGTGGGGGGCATAGTGTGGTCAACTTTCAAAGGAAATGTCAAGAAGGCCCAGGAGAGATCTTTGATAGACAAGTTCCTTTCTAAACTTAAGATCGTTATTGGGTTTTATCAGGTCACAGCTGGTGTGCTGCAAGCATTTTCCTACATTGAGTGGCCAGATTCTTTGGAAGTTATCGCTGAGTATTCAGAATTACTGCAACTGAATGTTCTTCAGATGGTCCCCCTTGAATGCTTAATCAAAGGATTGCGAGTGAATGCTTTTGGAAACATGTTTACGATGATGGCTGTCAATTCTCTGGTCATTTGTGTCTCAGGTGTCGCCTACGGAGTTCGTAAAGTTGTTATTGCGAGGAATGAAAGCTTAGAGGAGGAAGAAAAATCTAGCAAACTGTCTGAAACCATAGAGCTCGTGTACAGAAATTTGTTTTTTTTTCTGTATGTGACGTATTTGAACACGTGCACTACAACTGCCAACGTCTTACCGCTTGCCTGTCAGACGCTTTGCCGGGATGAAAAAGAAGAGTCGTGTTCAAAGTTCCTGAAAGCAGATTACAGCGTGCGATGCCACGATCAAAATTACAACGAGGTAATTCTCTTGGGATACATCTCGACCGCTTATGTCATGGTCCTCCCAGCTGCAACATTCATTGCACTCTGGAAGCATAGAAGAGTAATATCTAGTAAAGGAACTGCCAAACTAACTCAGGATTCTGGCTCAACCGCAAAAGTGGTAAGAGGACTACGTTTCCTATTTGAAAACTACAAACCTAGCTCGTGGTATTGGGAGTTGGTCGAAGTGTGTCGAAAATTAATCCTTACCTCCGGATTGATTCTTGTGGGACAACAGAGCAGGTCCTACATTGGCTTAGCATGGGTTGTTGCCGGAATGTATGGAGTGCTCTTTTCCTCTATAAGTCCCATACAAGACGTGGTCGAGAACAGAATGATGGTAACGTCACTTTGTGTTACTATCGTCAACTTGGGTATTGGAGCCGTGAGTAGAATTCCAGCTGAGAACATTCCAAACTCAAAAGACTCCTACTCGGAGACAGCTTTCTTCAAGGCTTTGGTGATTGCCTCAAATACCTCTGTGATTGGCCTTCTTGTTGATAAGAAAATGCCGTTCATTCGAATAAGTTTTTCCTCTTGCAGAAAATCTTCTTTGAAATATATATATGTTCTATTTCGCTCATTGACCCTTTTGCCACATCAAAACTAATTATGCTTTCTCGTTTGCCCTTAGTTCAGTACATAGTGCACCTGTATCATTATTTCAAGGAGTGGCGCCAGAACCCAAAGGTGTCGTTTTCTTGTTGCCTGGAAGTTTTTCTCCCCCTGACCAACATGCAGGGAGATGTCAGCGCTATGGATGAGACGAAGGTATTTGAGAATGAGACGGACGCAGGGCAAGTCGATGCGCCCAATGTACAGCTCAGTATTCGTAAAAATGAAAATTTGGATATCAACAGAGAGAGTTGGTCAGGATGTCCGCAACGAGATGAACGATCAGAATGATTTCAAAGAAGCTGCTGTGTTCAAGAACACGAAACATCACCAGGAGACACAGACGGAACCAATTTTTTACAAGTGAGTTATGACACTCAAAAGAAACGAGGCGCTCTAATAACTTTTTCTAAGTAAGATAAGTCAAGATTAATAAGCTTTCGTACAGAGTCCGGAATATATATGAGAAATGTTACAAACTATTAGCTGGAAATGTTTACCAGAAAATTATACTTTGATTCCATGGGTAACAAAGAAACGCAGAACAAAATACCCTTTATTTTTTATGCAAAATTGAAGTAAACTTAAGAAATTTTAAAATTGTAGTCTGTGACGATTTGAAGTTTTTCGTCCTATCTGGACCTTTGAGGGGAACGCAACAATAACGGGGGAAAATAGCTCGGTAGAGACCACTCGGCTGCGAGGACGGAAACTAGTCACGATTTCCTGGTACAAGGAGATCTGCTTCGAGCGAGCTTTTACGGACGTCAAGTAAGACAGCGTTTTGGTTCCACCATAGACTGTATTACCAGGTCAGGCCAACAGCTGACATGACCGCTAGCGTACTCATCTTCGTAATCAATGTAATCGGCAGGCAGTCGTCTATGTAATTGAAAAAACTTTTCAATATACTTCTATTGTTCTCTAAATTTACAATGCTTGAATAAGGTTACAAAAGAGAGGAAAATGTCTCCTCGAAGTTAAGCGATTCTATTTAAATATTCCATTTGTTCGGAAAGAAAATTCAAAACTAAGGAACGGACTTAATAGACTCTAGGCCCTCTATACACCTATCTTAATTGCTGTAGAGCAGCTTAGGAAATAAAAGTGAGAAGTAATAATAATTTCTGTTTATCTATGCGATGTTGGTGTTAAGTTCGGAAAAGCGGCAACCTGAGAAATTATCCTATTAAAGGAAAGCGAACTTACGAGCGCAAACTCATCTGCAGACTTCCATGAGAACCACTTTTCCAGAAAGATTATCAACACTTACATTTGAATTTTCCAGGGAAAGCAGTGACACTTATGCTTACATGCAATTTCAACAGAAATGGTCATCAAAGTCCGACGTACAGGTGTATAATTAAAATCAGAGTAACAAGCAAAATCTAATAGTTGACAATTCAAAAAAACTACTGAGGTCTTTCTATATATTTTGAAATACTAGAGCGAAAGAACCAGAATAAATTGAAAATGGCTAATATGAAACTTTTATGCGTAAATATGTTCAGAACAACCACACGGAAAAATCCAATAAATTTTCCCTTTAACAAATCATAGGTACCTTTCATCCTGTTACGGGTCATCTCCAGTGGCGAGCAGAAAGGATTTTTTGGCGCCGTGAACTAAACATTGATAGTTGGTTGGTCAGTAGCAAGGTTCTTCTCGTTTCATTAGAAAAAATGCAAAGGGAATAGATTTCGCGTATGATAATCATGTGATAATCATGGTAACGCTTGCATTCTAAGAATCATTTCAGCAGAGACCGAAATGAAAATAAATTGGTATTTGTTCAAACATCAAACATTTCGCCACATTCTCATTTATCTCATTTACTGTTATCGTCTTTCAGGTCTCAACAGTTTAAGTCAGAGTGAACTCTACGTTAGAGATCAGATGAAGAAGAGTAGCCACACAAGAAAAGGAGACGAATTACTTATAGTAGCGATGAGACGCCTTGCTTCAAGGATACTTACACTAACTCACGCAAAATAATTTTTTGTTAATATATGCAAGGCGATAGATATCGATTCTTCAAAATGAAGAGTAAATAATCGACGAGCTGTAACCCAGTACGACAATCTGCTAGGTGTAACGGTCAACTGCAGTGCGTTACTCAAATTTCACAACAAAGAGGTTGGAGTCCTGTTACGTTTGAAACTTATAACATTGTAATGAACTTCGAAAAAAAAAGGAACTTGATCACGTAATTGCCTTTGCTTTGATTTTAAAGTACATAGAGTTCTGTTTTGTTTCATTGTCAAGTTTACGCCCCTATTTTCAGATAGAATCGTTCAAAGTTTGCATTACTTATGTACGTGGCAGGCCATTCCTGTTTAAACCAGTTTACAATTGTACACGTAAATTATACTCTTGTTATAGAGCGCCCCTTAAGTTTCAGAAGAGTCGGAGTTAAGAGATCGGTGGAGTTAGATCGTAGTTTTGACAGAAGTTTCACTTGTCTGAGTTACGTAACGGCAGAGTTTCTTCAAGCCCTCAAAGACAGGATCAGACTTTTCACCGCATGTGTACAATATTCAAACGAGTTGACGATCACATTAAACGCTGGATGGTCAACTTGTGTTGTTGTGGTTGACACTTCCCGAACTCCAGTCCACAACACTCAGTGTCCGCTGCTCTGGGTACGCAACACATCATAGACAACTTGGGATTTAACTTGCGTTATCTTATGAAGGAATGGAATAAACCCACACTTAGTGTTTGGTAGAGCTTTTATAAGGGTACGTTATGGGTTGGATAGCTATGGCACTTGTATGTGGTTGATTCAGTTAATGTGTTATGAAATCACTACTCCAGTTCATCATCGGGGTAGGCAAAAGAATTTGAAGCAATATTTGATTTGAAAAGGTTTTAAAGATATTACACTATTCAAGAATTTCATAACATGTGCTCGAATTATTTTGGAACATCATGACATGGAACATATAATTTTGCAAGGAGTATAATATAATAACATATAATTTCAAGGAATCCTAGATGGTTTAAATATTCGTTTTTAAAACAAGGTTTTTCAAAATGTAAAGCACACGAGATATAGCAAAAGTGTGGTTAAAAGAGGATCAAAATAAAGGCTGCATAATCCTCTGTTCCGCATAAATAACGAGAAAGACATACATTATTATAATAAGTTTGGGCGATACTTAATTTTAACACTACAAGAAATCTGAAGGGTTATTCGTACACAGACAAGAAGAATTTTATACGGTAAAATCATCTGCACACACTCCGAGGGTAACTAAAAGAGAAAAAAAAATGGGGCGAATTTTCTGTCGTTTGACTTTATTCCGAAACATAATGAACTGAGGTTCGTCAAAGGATAATAACACTAGACAGGCTTTAAGAGACTACTTTGAATGAGTATTTCAATATGCTACGATTCAAATGTCGAAAGATTTGACTTAATTGAACTAATTTTCTTGAATTGTTGAGTCTATTAATTTAAGGAAGATAATAGCTATCGAGCAAAATGCAAACAACTAATATGACAAAAGCAGTTCTAGCCATTCTGGGTTTGATCATGAAAAGACCTTGGGGTGAATTATTCATTAGGAAGGGTTGTTTTAACCTTGGCGTCAATTAGAATTAGCTTTTTGTTTCAAATATTTCAGAGAATGGCGAATTAGCCGAAACTTTTCCTCGACCTTCTCTTAGTCTAATGTAAAAGCAGTAGTCTGTTGGAGTCTTCTGAGAAGTAAGCATAATTCTGGATCGATTTAATTTTGTTTATTTTCAAGTGTAATGCTTGATTATACGTCCTATCGCCTCTCATGGAGCTGTCAAGTCTAATGAAGGTCAGTATTTTCAATTCCTACTGCTGCGAGTTATCGCCTACAAAATAAATCATACAGAACCCTACTGCTTAAATTGGAGGACCAATTCACCTGCAATGTTTAGATTTTCTTCTGCTTACCAAAGTTCGTTGAACAGTATTTTACTCATTTTAATAAAAATATGTTAAACAAAAACTATGATCCTTGAGCTATTTTAAAAAAGTTTCAAGGGAGTTCATTGCGTTACAATTTCAATGGGAGGGAGCTAAAAAAAAAAATCATTGTTAAACATTTATAGCTTATGTGAAGTAACACGGTTGAATAACAAGATGTTAGGACTCCTCTTGGTTCGGATAAAAAGGTGTAAATTACAATAATAAAGAACGATATCAGCTTCGCTCGTAAATACCACACAATGAAAAAGATAGCCAAAAGGCAAAAGTTCTTAAAATACTGAAAGGCAAAAATTTACATCGCTCTGTAAAGGTAATCATTTTCACCCGCCCTTCAGTTGAAAAAAAGGGGATGAAATTGTGCCCGAGAGCTGTAGCACACAATACATGTCCTGGAGGGGCTAATTGTTTGAGCAGGAAAAGAAAGGAATAGATTTTTCTTGCTATTTTATCAATGAATTACCAGAGGATCTCGCGTTTCTCAATTCCATCGATATGTTTCACAAGTGAAGACTACGTTGTCGTCATGGAAACTGAGTGCTAAAGTTAAAGATTTAGGAGTTTACTGAAGTGTATTGGAAATTTCTTATTTATGAGAAGAAAAAAGGTATTACGCAGAAAGTCAAAATCAGCCAATGAAAAGGATCGATCTAAATAAGGAATGTTGCAAGTATTTAGGGTTTTCATTTAACTCACTGTAAGCCATGTTTGGTTTTTTTCACAAGGTAATATCATGTCAATACTTGTCTTCAGAGAAGCGCCGGGAAAATTAACTGAATCTTGTACGTAATAACAAGGTAAGCTAAAAACCACCGGCAGTTTGGCAATTTTTAGTCAAGTTACGACTCCAGATTGGGAGAACTTCAAGGGTTCAGGTCAGTCCTAGAAACACAAGGTAAACTACTCTTAAGAGTTCTTTAGGAGCCGAATAGCGATCAGCTTGAGTTAAGAGATTCTTTCCATCATTCTTTTTATATGAATATGGTTAACGATATATTCCAAGTAACTATGAGTAAGAATTGGCCAGCCATTAAATTTCTTAGAACTAAGAATAATTCATGAGTAGCAAGCTCAATTTTGGGTCAAGGTCAGACTATTGTCATGATCTTTTTCGCCAAACTTGAAATGATGCGCAGCAGATGTTTGGATCAGAAATCTAGAGTGTTGCGAGTTCTAGTTTTGGACTCATATTCACATGTTTAGTATAATTAAATGCAAAAGGCCCTTGTTCCGCAATTAGATGGTTTCGTAACGTTTTTTAACGTCAAAACAATCTTTACATTGA